TGTTAAGGGTTATGTAAAAATTGTGTGCTGTCTGTCTTCTTCTGCTATGAATATCTGATTTTTCTCTATATTGTCTCTGTCTGTTTATCTGTGTGTGTGTGTGTGTGTGTGTGCATGCGTGCAAGCAATCTGTGCCTCCCTCCACAGTGATAGGTCACAGTGGCAGGGAAAACACACATTTCTTTTTGCAAAGTTTCCAAAAAATAAGGGCAAATATAAATTGAAAGAAATACATTGAATCATAATGCTAATAATAATTTAATAGAATAGCTAAACTAAGATAAGCTAAGCTAAATCCTACCCATTCCTTTGTAACAAGAAAAAGAAGCAGGCAAGTTCAACCACAGTGATAGGTCACAGTGGCAGGGAAAACACACATTTCTTTTTGCAAAGTTTCCAAAAAATAAGGGCAAATATAAATTGAAAGAAATACATTGAATCATAATGCTAATAATAATTTAATAGAATAGCTAAACTAAGATAAGCTAAGCTAAATCCTACCCATTCCTTTGTAACAAGAAAAAGAAGCAGGCAAGTTCAACTAGTACTGAGCCAGAGCAAGCCGCAATGTCTCAGTCTGAGTGTTCCTCTCTCACAAAGTTCCAGACAGGCAACAAGCTGCGAAAAGGTACAGAATGCCTCAAAACAGAGGCTTTTATGCTGTTTCTAGTCCCACCCCACAGACGCTAGCATTGGAAAGGTAGCCAGTGAGAAATGTCAGTCTTCCACCCTGCTCCACCTCCCCCTCTCCCTCCCTCCCCCACTTCCCCTCCCTCTTCTAATTGTCAATCAAGGCGTCCGAAGCATCTGAAGCGGATCCAAAGTGCTTTGGATGCTCCGACCCGCTTTGGATAACTTTACGGAGCCTGCACTTTGATCTGGGTGTGCCACTTCGGATGCCGAAGCGTCCGACGCAGCGCCGGATCCAAAGCAGGATCCGAAGCCTCACACAGCCCTAACAGATGGGCATTGAGCATTGATACCTAAACAAAGAAATAATGTGGTAACAATACCACCTACCATTGCACAAAGCAGCAGTTACAAGCTCTCTCCAGCAAACCTATTCAGTGTAATCTGTATTATATTTGAACACTTTCAGATCAAACTGAACGAATGAGCAACAACACTCCATTTGGAGGAGGGGTATGGGTTGTAGTTGGGTTGGTCTAAGGACAGAGGCGGACAAGGTTCTTTGGGTAAATCTGATATCTTTTACTAGACCAACTCAAATATTTGGAAAAATTCTTCTTTGCGAGCTCTTGGGTATACATACCCTTCGTCAGGCTGAGGAGGCATCTGCAGCTGGTGTGTGCTCTTCCTGGATGGAATGAATAGTAAAGAAGCCAGATGCTGGTGTGCATGCAAGAAAGCCAGTCAGTAAAGATGTAAATTGAGGTTGAGAGACAGGCTGGGGGGGGGTGGGGAGAGAGAGCAGAATGAATGTAGCTGGTAAATAGTGGAGAGGTACCTAGGGAGTCTGATGTTAGGCAGGTTATAATGTGTCATAAATCCAATGCCTATATTTAGTCCATGATTTTTTGTATCCAGGAGGTTGATAAAGTGAAGTTCATAGGCTCATCTGTGAAAGGTGTTTTGTAAATTCCCTTTGAGGATAAAAATTGAGAGATTGTGAGAAATGTGCCTCTGCAGGTAATTGGGTATTCTTGTCTTTGATAGATTTCTGGTGTGCATTCATTCTGGGGCACAGTTGTTGTTTGGTCTCTCCTATGTATTTTGTATCAGGGCATTTGGTACGTTGAATGAAATATATTACATTTCTGGAGGTGCAGCTCTAAGATCCAGGAATGCTTATGGTTCTGCTGTGAGGTATAGTGATTGTGGGGGCAGTGAAGATGTGTTGGCAGGTTTTACATTTCTTGTCATGGGCTGTAGGAAGTTTGCTTTTAGTGATGAGGTTAGCAAGGTTTGGTGCTTGTTTGAAGGCTAGGATGGGTTGTTCTGGGAGGATCTCGCCTGGAAGAGGGCACTTGAAGAAAACAGCTTTTGGAATATCATCTACACAAGACATATTCCAGAGAAAGGTGTATGAAAAACAAGGAGGATTGACATGCATTGAAGTCAAACATCTATGGCATCCTAATACTTGGTAGGATGACTCAGAAGTTGAAGAGAGTGCTACAGAAAACTGAATCACAGTAACGTGCAATCAGTGGAGACAAAGTAAGTTATTTGGCCAAATTTTAGCAATGGACCTGAGGCATCAGACCTGATTCCAGTAAAGAGTAGGGCCAGGAAAAGGATTATTTTCCCTAAAAGAACTGTAATATATACCAGGGATGGTGGTTTACCTAGCAAGAGTAATAGTAGGATAGGATGTCTCTGCAAGAACATAAAAGGAGACAAAAAGGACCAGTAGAGGGATGGCTGCATGAAAGATGTCATAGGCCTCAAACCAAAACTAAAATACTGTGATGAAAACAAGGGAATAGCATTACAGTTGCATCCCACGCATCCATTGGAACAGCAGTGTTGCAGGAAGGAGTTTAAGTGACATACAAATCGAGAGTACAGACACCAACACAGCAAAATTATGTTGAAATGGAGAAAGAATTATTTGTCATTGTCTCTGGATGTTGGAAAATTTCATCAGTACATACAGATTATGCAGTATGGAATGACATAGATCACAGATCCCCAGAGAATACTTCTGACAAACCTCTAGCTTCTGCACTGCCAAGACTTCAGAGCATCATCTTAACTAAAGAAACAAAGGTAGAATTTGAAAGTGAAATGCAAGCCCAGAAAAGGAATTACTGTCAGATCTTCTTTTGCCAACTTTGTAGAAAAACAAAATGCAAAAGAAGAGGAAGACACAGAGGAACTGGTGCGCATGATACTACTACACATATAAGTATTACCGAATAAACTGGCAGAAAGAGTGAGAGAAACAGAGATGCGATGAAATGAATCTTTTAAAAGAAAGAAAAGAAGTCCAACATGAAAACAAGTTCCTTTGACAAGCAAGGATTTTTGGAATGAAAAGATAGAGCTGACTGTAGAGAAGGCTGTAATGTCAAAACAAAAGAAAATATCAGTACTGAAGAAAATGTGTCCTGAGATTTAAAAGGTATGACACTAGGCAAAAGACAGGCAAAAGACGCACTTTTCTGATCCAACGTGAATTCACATACAGGTGGAAAGGTCAGAAATTGTTGCATTTGTGCAAAGTACTAGAGACAGAACTGAAGGAACCAATGATAATTCATAATGTACATAGCAAAGTCTGGCAGCAGTTCATGGTGCCATTTCAACCAACCCAAGCGCAGTCATCCAGTGATGCCACAGCTATGCCAACAAATACAAGAAGTAACATTCACTCTCTATATGGGAAAACAGTCCGACTAGTAGGGTGGAAGGATCAAGATACATGTATTCTACTATTACACAGGAGTGCTAGTATCATAATTAGCATCTCCAGTCTTCTTTTGTTTATAGGGGATTGTGTTTGTATTAATTAATTAGGTAAGGGGCGGGGGGGGGGGGCATGATCCTTTCAAGAGAGGCAGGGGGGGGGGGTTTTAGGCGGGGGGGTGCATGATCCTTTCAAGAGAGGCAGGGGAGGTGATTCTAAGGTACTGTCTTGGTCTTTGTGTCTATGTTGAGCAGAGGAAGTTTGAGAAGACTTGTTAATAAAAAAGTCTTTTTACCTTGATTTTACCCTATCCCATGTGGATTTCCATTGCTGTGAGAAAAAACATCGCTTCCAAGGGTGACTTGCTCCCCAGGTCCACTCAGTAGTTGGAGTTTGCTTTTTTTGACATCTTTGATTTACCATATTTCATAGTGTATAACTCAAGCTTTGGAGCCAAAATATTTACCTTTTAAATTTCCACCTTGACTTACACACTGTGACAATACTTTTGACCCCAGTGCTGTTCCATCCCAGCCCTCGCCGAACCCTGGCCCCAACTCAACCCAATACAACTTTCTTCACCTACTGACAGCATCCCTGTCACTGGAGACCCTGGGGTCTGGGCTCAGCCCAAGCACAGCATGTGGGCACTGAGCCCGGCCCCATCCCCTGCAAGCGGTGCTGCCTGGGCTGAGCCAGCCAAGCACCAAGCCCGGTCCTATCCCCTGTGAGTGGCGCTGGGCTGGCGCAGCCCCATTCCCTGCGAGGGCTTGGCACTTGACTAGCATAGCCCAGGCAGCACCTCTCACAGGAGATGAGTGCCAAGCCCAGCTCCACTGCAGCACAGGTTCACCCCCCCCAAATCCCCCAGGTGCCTGGCCCGCAGTGTAAGGGGCCAGTGTAAGTCAATTCGATATTTCTAATCCAAAAAGGTCTGCTTATACACTGGATCTACGAAACTCCTAAATTTTTGGATCAGAAAAATGGCCTCGATTTGTACACTGTTTTGACCTGTACACTGTGAAATATGGTAGATATTACCTGGGAACTGTTTCTTTGTATTTGCCTGAGAGCTCCTGGATTTTCCCTTTTCCTAGGTCCTTTGCTTCAGGCTGGTTGATTTTTATTTCTAATGTGAATAATGTAGGTATTGCTGAGTATGCACCGTATACATGTTATTTGAGATGGCAGATTCTTATGCATTCACTATTAACTATGTTTAAAAAGCACTGGTAGAGAAATAAGGTTCACACAAGAAGGGCTTCTCTATAACTCATGAGAGGTAGCTGCTTTTTGCAGGTACTACAGGCAAACGAGTAGCAATCCAAGGATTAGGCCATGGAGTGAGCCCTGCAGTGATTTGTTACAGAAGATACTAATTCACCTGGAACACCTAAATGGCCAATCAGAGTGCTCCCTTTCTCCAAACCATGTAAAAGCAGTGATAGGCCTGATGGCTGCTTTTTCCAGGGCTCAGGGACGTTGCCTTATGGGTAATGTAGTGCCCTCTCCTTCCAACCTTGTCAGCCACTCAGGGGGGGGGGAGAGAGAGAGAGAGAGAGAGAGAGAGAGAGAGAGAGAGAGAGAGCGAGCTTTCAGAACTACATTTCCCAGAATGCAGAGATCTCCTGATCTGAATCCCCCTGGGATTAGAGAGGCCACAAATAGTGAACAATTTAAATCCAGATTAGGTTTAACCAAATGTTGCAGGAAGGAAGAGACGTTAGCCGACCATATGTAGCCGGTAAGAGACTCTGAATTGGAATTTTAAGAGGAGAGGAATGGTCTTGTTTTCTGGCTGGAGCTGGGTTTTAGTTGCCAGGAGTTATCACTACAGCATTGGGAGGGTTGTTCTTGCTCTCCGGGCCTGTGTGGTCAGTGCTAGGAGGGTATACTCATTGTTTAGAGCATTGAAAAGGAATTTGGTAGAGGGTGGTGGGCAAAGATGGTGGCCCTGGACTCGGGTCTTCTGCTTTGCTGAGGTGGAAACAGAGCTGGTTTTTCTGTATAGGAACAGGCTGTTGTCTAGGGAAGCAGCCTGTCGGGGGTAGAAGTGCAGCAGCTGCAGGCCTTTTGGGAGGGAACGCGCATGTCATTCCTCAAAATGAGACTGGAAAAGGGGTGGCAAAATGACAGTTACTTCTCCAGCTGCTTTTGTCTTTCTTCCCATGCACACAGGGCCCCACAAGCCTATTCTTATACTCAGACTGCTGAGTTGTACCAGTCTCCAGGAGTGGCTCTGCAAGGCCTCAGTAGAGGAGGGGCTACACAATGTGGTTAAGGGTGCCAGAATCGCATGCCTGTTGATTTGCAGGATAGGGGGAACTCGGGTTAGTGGTGACAAGAGTTATTCTTCATCAGAGCAGGACAGTGAGAAAGCAAGATGCCCTGCTCTGCTTCACCCATGTGCAGTGAACATTCAGAGAGGTATTCCCACAGAGGAATGTCTTATCACAGGGGTGGACAATTATTTGGGCTGGGGGACATTTAGGGAGTTACACTGATCTGTTGTGAGCCAGATCCCCCCGCCCGCTGCCATTGCTGGTGCTGCAGCACCAGAGCCGAGCGGAGCAGGGACAGATGCAGGCTGCCCACTGAGGGCTTGAGGCTCCCCACCCTGCTACCCTTCCCCGAGGAGCCCAAATCCAGCCACACACCCCCTGCCCACCCAGCAGCAGCGGAGGCACAACACCATGCCGCTGTTGCCCCCGCTGCTGCCGGGCAGACAGGCAGCACCTTGCCATGGCGGCACAGCCAGCATGGGGGCCCCCAAGGGCAGGGCAGAAGGACAGGGAGCCCCGAGCCTGCAGTGAGCAGCCCACATCAGCCCCCACTCTGTGCACAAATCTTGGGGGGCACATGCCCCTGCCTAATGGATGAGATGCCCATGGCTCCGTCCCACTTCATACTCCAGCCCCATGCACCACCCTGACTGGACAACACCCCCAGCTCCTACCCCACTCCCTCCCTCACCGTGGGGTCCTTGATCTGCC